GGACTGCGGCTCCGGCGACGTGCAGTGCAACGGCGGCGGCGCCGCCACGCCCGCCACTCTGGCCGAGTTCACGCTGGACGGCAGCGGCGGGCTCGACTTCTACGACGTCAGCCTCGTCGACGGGTACAACCTGCCCATGGTCGTCGCGCCCACCACCACCACGGCATCAACCGGCAAGTGCGCGGCGACGGGGTGCGCCGCGGAGCTCAACGCGGCGTGCCCGGCGGGCCTAAGGGTGGAGGCCGCGGCGGACGGCGGGCCCGTGGCGTGCCGTAGCGCGTGCGACGCCTTCGGGGACGCGCAGTACTGCTGCAGCGGCGCTTATGGGAATCCTAACACATGCCGGCCATCAACGTACTCGCAGTTCTTCAAGACCGCGTGCCCGCGCGCCTACAGCTACGCCTACGACGACGCCACCTCCACATTCACCTGCGCCGCCGGCAGCACCGACTACACCGTCACCTTCTGCCCCGCCGTGCCCACCAGGTACCAGCAAAGTTTAGTAGTTGTGTTTAATTCTAGTACGTGCTAGTAGTACTTGATTGACACCATGCAAAGAATGACTCATTCGCGCTGCCACTACACTAAGAACGACTAGTTTCATCCTTCATTCCCTGCAATTAGCAGTAGTATAGTAGTTAAAAATGACTAATAAGATACTATTAGCAGTAGTACACCATTCTGTCAGTACGTACTGTAGCAGTAATTGTGGGAGTGACTAGTGACAAGTCACAGGTGGGCTGTTGGCCGTTGGTGACGCATTTCGAGGAGGTAAGTTACCAACGGCTAGTGAGAAAACGGCTAGGAAGGCAGGCACGCGCGGTTGTCCAGTCCACGTGGTCATACTACTTAGGACAACTGGAAAAGGGTTGCCTCTGTTTTAGCCGTTTGGGCTCTCACAGGTGGTCCTGGCAGTTGGCACGGCCCAGCAGGTCAAAATAACAGAGCAAACATGTTTTAGTTAAAAATATGGCACCATGCCACCAATTTTTATCTACTCTTTTTATTTTTGGCAACAACTCATAATATATAGTATTATATTAAAGAGAACAGCAGCTATCAGTTACTGATACCGTGTACTAGCTGTGATACTGACCACTTGAATACTGTTGCATGCAACAGCGTAAAGTCGACGGGGCAGAACCCGCAGACCGCCGGGTTACCGCAGCAGCTGAACAACGGCACCACCATGGTCTTCTTCGGCGGCAACACGCAGACCAGCAGCGCCGCCGCCGCCGCTTCCGCCAACCTTCTCTACGCCGTCACCATCACCGTGGCGCTCGCGCTCTCGGGCTCGGCTCTCGTGTGAGCGCACCCGGTCCGGTGCTACCGCAGCACTAGGTTGATCGGTCACCGTCGCTGCTAGGTGGGGCCACGCATATCATGTGCTTTTGACCGTATGTTGCAGCCCCCTAGCGACTGGGACGGAACAAGAGCATAGTACTGTACCGTATTGTAGGATTGTAGCCTAGGTAGGACAAGTAGAAGTAGACTAGTTTTTGTTTTTTTTTGGCTCCGAAAATAGTCTTTTCATCTGCTGGGCAGAGACAGGTTCACCATCCTTTCTCCTACTGCAGGACTAGCTAGATAGGTCGTATCCATCAGAAGGATTTGTTGTAACCTCAGAGTGATTATTGGTTGATTGATTCTATTGGGGGAAAATAATCAAATCTTAAGCTTCAATTGGTTTTCTTCTCTCACTTAAGCTCTGAACATTTTTGCAACAATTGATAGCAACTATGCCCGTGATGAAAGTTTGGGAGTGCTCGGGGGCTAAAAATAATGGCTCCGTTTGCTTCGCTGAAAAAAATAAGCCGCAACACTGTTCCGGCTGATATGTTGTGAGAGAAAACACTATTTCTACTGAAAAAACGAGCTGAAAAGTACAGATTAAAAAACAAACGAACATGGGCAATGTGTTGTTGTTGTCACTCAAATTTGAATTGGACTCATGTATTGACACTATTCCTGGAGGAAGCGAGCAGGCACCGGTGAATCAGCTAGCGTCACGTGTATATGTTGGTTGCTAGAGGTCAAATATATCGTGTGCGTACGGTTTTTTTTTCCTCCATGTAAACTTGCTAATGGGCCAAAATTTGAACCACGCCCACATCAAACCATTACTTTAAAAAAACCTATCAATTAACCCAATCCGCCCCGTTGTAGTGTATATGTTGGTTGCTAGAGGTCAAATATACCGTGTGCGTGCGGTTTTTTTTTTTCTGCGTGTAAACTTGCTAATGGGCCAAAATTTGAACCACGCCCACATCAAACCATTCCTTTAAAAAAAACTATCAATTAACCCAATCTGATCCAACCCGTCAATCTCTTGGGCCCGAACTAAACCAATCCATTTTCTTCTAAGCAGTGTCAAGCTATTTTTAAACCATGGGAGATCTAACTCTCACAAAAGTGCTCTGTCTCAATCTTTCTTCTTCCTCAATCTTTAGCTCTCGTCTCGGATGTTAGGCAAGTAAAGTACGTCGCCGCCGCGCGCGGCAAAGAGGGTTGCCCGCTGTTGCCGTTGTCGTCTCCGTCGCTGTCGGCCTGCTACGATGTCCAGCTCCCACGTGCGCCGTGGTGCTTCTCGGATGCGGCTGCTGAGTGTGTCGTGGCTATCCTACGCTTGGGCACTGAAGTGGTCGAGTTCGCACAACTCGAGCACATGTGCACCGCTGTAGCAGCACAGCTCCAGTGATGAGCGGTGTGCACCCAGGTACCACGCGAAGGTCTGCCAGTCCTACCGCTTCTGTGATTGGTACCAGTTTGGCCCTCGCAGCGGCGACCACAAGCGCACGCAGAACTCTACATAGAAAGCAACGATCGTGATGGCACCGGGGCAGTGGGGTTTCAGGCCTCCTCCTGCGTGCAGTAGAGCTGGGCCTTGAGGTTGAGGACAGAGGCGGCGTTGACACCCTCGATTGTGCAGACACTGCGAACAGGTCGTATCCATCACAAGGATTTGTTGTAACCTCATAGTGATTATTGGTTGATTGATTCTATTGGGGGGAAATAATGCCCCGTTCGGCTTACTGAATCTTGGCTGAAAAACACTGTTCTGGCTTAAATGTTGTGACAGAAAAATACTGTCCCGACTAAAAAAAATAAGCCTAAGGTAAGCCGAACGGGGCTCAAATCTTAAGCTTCTCACACACGTATGTATCAGCAGTTGGTTTTCTTCTCTCACTTACGCGCACAACATTTTTGCAACAATCGATGGCAACTACGCCCGTGAAAGTTTGGGAGTGCTCGGGGGCTGAAAATCAACATGTTGTTGACACTCAAATTTGAATTGGACTCATGTATTGACACTATTCATGGAGGAACGAAGCGAGCGGGCAACGGAGAATCAGTTAGCGTCACGTACGCATGTTGGTTGCAGGAGGTCCAGTGTGTCGTGTCCGTACGATATTTTTTTGCTGCATGTGAACTTGCTAACGGGCCAAAATCTGGACCACACCACACCAAACTTTACTTCAAAGATCTATCAATTAACCCAGTCCACCCCGTTGTAGCAGCTCATTTACCTAAACTGATCCAACTTGTCAGTCTCTTGGGCCCAAACTAAACCAATCCATTTTCTTCTATGCAGTGTCAAGCCATTTCAAAATCGTGGAATCTAACTCTCACAAAAGCTATGCACCATCTCAATGTTTATTCTTCCTCGATCTTGAGCTCTCGACTCGGATGTTAGGTAGGTACAGTACGGCGGCGTGCGTGGCAAAGTGGGTTGGCGTCGTCGTCGCTGTCGGCCTGCTGTGATGTCGGCGATGAGCGTGTCGTACTGTCGCGGCTGCCCTACTCTTGGTGCAGCGGGCATTGGCATGCTTTCACCATAACTTGCTGCGGTCGAGAGCCCGCACAACAACTTGAGCACGTACGCGCTGCTGTAGCAGTAAGCTCCAATGACGAGCGATGCACGCCCAGGTATTGCGTGAAAAATGCCAGTCCTACCACTTCTGTGATTCGTACCGACTTGGCTACCACAGCGGCGACTATGAGCGCGCGCGGAACTCTTCAATGGAAGCAGCGGTCGTGATGACACCGGGGCAGTTGGGTTTCGGACCTCCTCCTGCGTGCAGTAGAGCTAGGTCTTGAAGTCGAGGATGGAGACAGTGTTGACACCCTTGACAGTAGAGTATATATATATATATATATTTTTTTTTTTTGCAGACAGTGTGTTGGCTTCAATCCATTAGCCAAGAACCAGTTTACGGCAAGGGTTGAACCCATTATACACCTGAACTATCAAAAGTCCAGCCTAAATTGATCCAAATCTTTTTGACTTCAAAAGCAAACTGGGCAAACTATTTGTGAAATATAGTCCATTCCCAAACCAAATTAAAGCCTAACCACGATAACACCGTACCATAAACACCAGTTGTAAACTTTTAGCATAGTTCAGATGTGCTATTGGTTTTAGAAAAAAAATATGAAAGTGGTCTTGCATTTTCTAAATTTTAAAAAATTTCTATGAATTTTTAATATTAAATCAGATTTTAATATTTTAATGCATATATTTATTATATAAAAATATTTGATATTTTTTTGAAAATCATTTCTAAAGCTTTTTATAAAGTTCATCATGAAAGTTCGATGCACCTTCCTCGTGGAGCAATGTAGGATGGCTGACGTGGTGTCACATTAGCCACAACTATTTGGAGAGATAAATCGAACGTTTTCAACAGTTAGAAAAAGGCTAAAAATCTGATTTTTAATTGAGAGAGATAAATCAAACTCACGCTATAGTTGAGAGGGCGATCAAATGATTTTTTTTTTTCCTACAAACTAATATTCCGGGCCCAAAATAAGAGCTTTAGCACAAAAGTAAGCCCAAACAGGAAAAGAGTTAATGTCCACGTAAGTGCCACGTAGGATCCTACATGGCCACTGGACCACTACCGCTGCTGACTCACCAACGGAGCCTTCTTCTTAAAAAGAACTCCACTTGCCTCCGTTTCCGTCGCCCACCTCCCCCACTGCCGCCGCCGCCGCGCCAGATGCGCCTCCTCGCCACGGCGGCGAGACAACCCAATACACCGCACCGTATTCTCGTTAACCTCCACCACCTCATATCCACAACGACGACGACGACGACCTCCTCCTCCGCATACGATCCAACCGCGCAGTTCCTCCATCCCGACCACCATCGCCTGCTGTCACTGCCAGCATCTCTCCGCCGTGACGCCCTCCTCGCACTCGCGCGCCTTCTCAAGACCTCCCCGCAATGCCACCTCGCGCTCCATGCCGTCAGCCCACTCTCTGGCTCCCCCTCCTCCACCCCGCTCGCCGCCCGCTTCGTCGCCGCATCGCGCCTCGCCACGTCGGCTCCCGCGCTTCGCCCCTTCGCAGCGATCCTCATCGCAGCGCTCCTCCCGGTCGCCTCCTCCGACCTCCTTTCGTGGTCGTCTAGTGACAGTGCCAGCGGGAGCTCGCGCGCGCGGTACGGCGCGCTCCGGCTCGCGCTCCACGCATTCCTCGCCGCGGGCATGGCAGCCGAGGCACTCGATGTGCTCAAGCGCGTCCGCCGCTCTGGGAACACGCCCAGCCTCTCCGCGTTGGCGGCATTACTGCGCCTTCTATTCCGAAGCGGGGAGGTCCGCGCTGCCTGGAAAGTGTTCGAGGAAATGGCCGCGAGGGGACCGCGGCCGAGCCTTGCCACCTTCAACGCTATGCTCCTCGGTTTCTGCCACAGGGGGCTGGCGCGCGTCGCCTCCGGGCTGCTTGGGATCATGGGGAAGTTTGGTATCGTCCCAGACGTGTGCAGCTATAACATCCTCATCAAGGGGCACTGTGTGTTTGGGTGGTCACAGGACGCCTTCAAGCTGTTTGAAGAAATGCACAGGTCAGGGTGTGAGCCGACAGTTGTGACATATAACATACTAGTGGATGTTCTGTGTCATGAGGGGAGGATGCCGGAAGCAAGGAGGCTGTTCGATGAAATGGCCCAGGTGGGGATCCAAGCAAATACAATCACGTTCAATGTTTTGATTGATGGATATGCAAAGACCAGACGGATGGATCAGGCCTGCACAGCCTATAGCGAAATGAAAGCAAGGGGATTAGTGCCAGATTCCTGCACATTCAACATTATTGCTGCTGGAGCTTACAAGTTTGGGCATGCTGCCCAGTTAGTCCTTGATCATGACATGTTTGGTTCACATATGTTGGCTGATGGGTTGGATATGTTGGTCTGTAGGCTTTGTTGGGATCGTCGATTGGATGATGCCTGGGAGCTTCTGCGTGGTGCTATTGAGCAGGGTGTTCCATTGAGTGTTACAGGATTTAATGCATTGATCGCTGCTTATAGCAAGGAGGGACTCCACGAAGAAGCTTTTGAACTGTATAGAGTTATGAACAAGTTAGGGCTCGCACCGTCATCGTCTACTTTGAATTACTTGATAATGGGGCTGTGCAATCAAGGAAGGCTTGATGAAGCACAGCTTCTTTTAGAGCACATGGTTAGTAAAGGATATTGTCTGAGTACATCATTTACTATCTGCTTGGATGCATCTTTCAGAGAGGGTAATGCAGTCTGCGCATTGAGATGCTGGGATGATATGGGCAAAATTGGTTTACAGCCTGATTTTATTGCTTTCTCAGCATATATCAATGGCCTGTGCAGATTAGATTATGTGAATGAGGCTTATCAGGCATTTGCTGAGATGAAAGCCAGAGGAATTGTACCGAACAATTTTACTTACAACTCCATCATATCTGCACTCTGTAGAGCAGGCAATATGACTGAAGCCTTGAAGTTACAGCAGAATATGAGGCAGAGTGGCCTTGTTCCTGACATTTACACAAGCAACATTCTAATCGATGGTTTATGCAGAGAAGGAAAGCTGGAGGTGGTGGACAACCTTTTATTGGACATGTGCAGTAATGGTCTAACCCCAGACACAGTGACATATAATACGATAATCAATGCATATTGTAGGGCTAAGGATATGAACAGTGCCATGAATTTCATGAATAAGATGCTCGCAGCTGGTTGTGAACCAGATATTTTCACATATAATATTTGGATGCATAGTCTCTGCAGCAACCATATGTTGAATCAAGCAGGAAAGGTGCTAGATGAGCTTGTTGCTATGGGTTGTCCTCCAAATTCTGTTACATACAACACATTGATGGATGGCATTTGCAGCGATGTTCTTGATCCAGCTATGATATTGACTGGCAGGCTTATTAAGATGGCTTTTCAACCAAACACTATCACACTTAATGTTTTCCTTTCTCATTTCTGCAAGCAAGGATTTGGGAAGAGAGCCCTTATGTGGGCTGAGAAGCTCAGAGAAGATTCTTTTGTTTTTGATGATGCTACTAGAAATATAATTGACTGGGCACGAAGGGAAATGGAGGATGACCCCCACGCTAACAACGAGGACATAGAAAGATGCCTATTTCTTGAGTTCTTAATGTTCATGACATATGAGACTATGCATAACGGCAGATCTTCAAAGGCTACACATATGCCTACAGATAGAGGTTTTGATCCTGCTGGCAGAAGCATGATTAGAATTTTGGATACTGGTTGATAAATGAATTTTATAACCCTATAAAGTATTAGAAAACTTTTTGGTAGCCGATGGTGCCTCTGTGAGATACCATATCACTACCCTTGCTATTCAATATCCACTATGAATCACTCTGTTTGAGCTATGAAAGTTTTTGGAGCTATGTACCATCAGGAACTGTCTAATCGCTGATCTTCTGTTCCAGCATTTCCTTGCTATGAATTTTGGATGGTGATTGATGGTTACATAGGCAGTGACGATTTCTTGTCTTCTGTGATTGTCGGTGGGGGTTGTGCTTGTTCATGCAGGTTCAAGGTGGTTTTGTGGCAGTGGCTGGGATGAGCTGCACAGATCATTGGCTTCTCACAGCATACCATTCTTTGTTCCTGTTGCGCACTGCTATTTGTGCGGTTGGTTGATGGTGGCCTGGTATGCATCTGTTACTGTACAACCTCCGTTGGCTGAGAAGGCACCTGTCCCTGGGTGTGGCTGTTATGGCGATTGAGGTGGCAGAAACTGTTAGCTGGCTCCCAGGTGTTTGCCCTCAATCACATACGCTGTCGCGCTTCTCCCTGGGTAGGGAGAGGGAGAGGGAGCTGAACTGGAGGTGCAGCTAGCCTTATACCTTTCATATTTCATATAATACATGGCAAGCACTACATTGTGCCAACTACATGGACATGCTGCCAATTCTACAACTATCAACTACTAGGCCATAAAGGCCACAACTACAGCATGACCTGTTGTATAGACAAGGAAGGGCATGGTCAAAAGAATGGAGCACTACATGCTCATGACATAAGCAACAACAACAACAGCCAATCCAACAGAAACTGCAGTGCAGCTCACAGCGTATAGATACTGACCAGCATCAATGGCTTTCACTGGTAAGTGGTCTTAGTTGCTTTGTGCAGTTCAGTTTTGTCCTTGTGCTTATCAATTTGTGCATTTGTTGTCTTTCAGATGATGCCCCTGATGACTGGAACAGAACCTGCTCCTTCGGTGGATGCAATGAATTTTAGTTTGGCTGATGTGATGTGCCATGGGTTCATTGGATGGTAAACATCATAGTGCAAGGTTTCAATTTGTTTGTGCAGAAACAAGTAGTGGTTAGAAATTTAGAAATATACAAGGTTCCCTCTAATTGTGCAATTTTGGTACCATTGATTTTCCTTATCAATAAGAAGTGCAAGATTATGTGCTGTTATGTTACTAATATGCTAGATCATACTGTTCACCTTTTTTTAATTCTTGATTGGACATAAGCTGCAAAGTTGAAGTCCATAGCAGTTTTCTTTCTCCTTGTCAACTGTCTTCTCTATCTTCTTACTAGCTACTTTTCTTGTTCTTTTAAATGATTATTTTGTCTTGCCGCCAGAATGGGTTTATAATCAATAAATTCTAAAGATGGATGCTGCTGTCCAATCCATCCAAAGGATCGTAGATTCATAGTATGGATTCCATAATCCATACTACTGTAAATGTGTAAGAAGCTCATCAAAGCATATCCTTTAACTGCAAACTTTGGTTAGGTGTAGTCAGGTGGGACTTCAAAGCAAATTCTTTTTCATAGAATAATTGATTCTGCTACTGCATATAATAAAATTTGTGAACAGATTGTTCTATGCCCTGTCTGCTTAGATTTATTAGTCTAGTGTGACTGCACTTGTAAAATGTTCTTATGATGTTGATTTTTTTTTTTTTTTGCTTGCTGTCTAATTTTCAGTTTTGAAGACACCTTGTTAACTGTAGGAGCTTGTTTTTAGTTTGGGCCCTACCAAAAACTGTTAATGCCTAACTTTTCAGCTAAGGTTTGGATGGCTTCCTGCTTTCTAACTGTGGTTGGCCAAGCCCAAGTTTGGCATGCATTGTTCCCTTGTGGGGCTCAAAGTTGTGGTGCATCAACCGTGTGCCCCAAAATGTTGGCAACGAGACGTTCCAGTCTCGTTGTGTAATGTTGTTCTCATCCAATTTGGAGCTTGTTTTCCTTTTCCTCTCAGCTCTAAGCTGCGGTACTGAAAATTGAGCACGAGATCCAACATAATCCCCAGCCGGCAGTGCTCTGGTAGTAGCCAGGACGGCACCCTTCCTCTCTGCACTAGTGAACCTGGTAGCAGAAACAAGTTTTCTCCAACGACCGCATCTTAATCTCCTCAAATGTGTCACTGGCTTATGCATCAAGTGCTTTCTGGTGAAGATTTGCTGCATGCGGATTATTTATCAGGTTTGTGAAATTATGTTATTTTCTCAAAATTTTGGCAACTATTCTGGTCCTATCCAAACATCCGCATTCCAAAATTTAGCCATGTGTTTGCTTTGATCGTGAACAAATTTTGGTTGGTCTAGATGGGCCTGAAACCAAACAAGCTCTGATCGTTTGAAAATAGTTGCCTTAGTCAAAATAGTACTAGTAAAAAGTAGTATGGTGAAAACAAAAAGTAACATTCTCATCTTCATTTTAATACAAGGGACGATCGTGCGCATTTGCTCAATTGGCATAGTCGTTTTCTTGTGATAGACCTCATTGGATATTGGAACAGAGTGCTCTAGACCAACCTCTTTGCTTTCTTTAATGGAGCTGTTTAGCTTGGTTGTGCTAAAGACAGTCTAGTGTATTTAAATATAACTGCATTTTGACTTCCTTAAGTTTTCATCTCCCGCACAGTATTATACTTGGTTTTTTCTTTTGCCCGCTGATATTCTTTTATCAGATGGAATAATGACAAGAGCTATTGGCAACCTGAAGAGTGAAATGCGGTTAAGAATGTTGGTTGGTTTAGTATGAAGTTCTTATCGCAGAACATCATCTTACCGTCAAGAGGATGGCTAATTGGGTATTGATTGATGAGTTGGGTGTTTGGACCGAGCTGCCTGGAAACACCAGGGATAACAGATGACAAAGCCTTCAAAAGGTCAGCAGCTCTCAAACTGAAATTTAAAGATGTCGGCTCAGCTTTCCTGCGCCAACAAGAAACGTACTCTTGTTTTGTTACTGATGTTTGCCATTATGTTTTGTATGCCAGAATGCCACATCTACGTAAAACAGTTTGCACGTAATTTTCAGATGCCATTACTCATCGGTAAAGGGTATGTTTGTACTGTCTGTGCTCAGCATACCATTTCTTAATTTATGGGAAGAAACAATCTTGTAATCGTAATTTTCTTAGATGGGCATGTTGAGTTATTAATCAAAATATATGCCAAGTTCTTCCTTGCAATTTTTTTGGCGGCTCTCATTCAACCCCTTCCGGTTGCCATTTTGGCCCTTCACACAAATATATAGACAAACTAAGGGCTCACTGGAGTTCAGGGAAGAAACGTAATTTGAATACTTGAAGTAAAGAAATGGAACTGCAACACAATTAATGAAGAAAAAGGTCATGTATAAGTATAATCAATAGATGAATTAAAAAAAGGAAACAGGTGTAACATCCTAGATGTTAAAAAGCAATTAAAACCTTGATCATATTCATCATCATGCATAATCATCAAGTATTAAGACATAAATGCATTGCATATTTTAATTATAGCATTCATAGGTTACATATGTGTTGAGATGTGCTTGCATGAAATGTTATGAAAAACATTAATTAAGGTTCTTTGTGATTTTATGGTTAGAAATTTCCTTAAACAATTAAAATTTTTCCAATATAAATTTTGTAGTAGAAAGTATGTGCTTTAAAATGAAATCAAAGTTTGGGTATGTTTTGAAGTCAAATATGTTTAAATTTGAGCTCAAAGATTGAATTCAATAACTATTTCTGATACTTGGCCATTTTTGACTGTCCCAGAATTTTAGTTATAAAGTTCAATGTTTGGGATTTTATTAAATCAATTTTCATAGATAAAAATTGGGCAATTTTTGTTTCATTGGTTGATACTATGCTTGAGCTATGTTAATGTGAAATTGGTTGATATGTTTGATAGATGTTTGTCCACTAATTAATTAACCAAAGTTGCTAGTTAACAGTTTGCAAACCCTAACTCTGAAAAACAGATTTCACGTTCTATCTTCGAAATTCAAAATCTCTCAATCTGTTGATCTTTTGATGTTGGTCCTTGAAGCAAAGATGAAGATGAGAGAGGGATGAACAACTTTGGTTATTGGAGCTTGACAAGTTTCTGCACAAAATCAAGAGAAAAAAGAAGAAGATGCCCTGTCAGACATGACCAGTACCCCGGTGCCGTCCCTCTCTTTTCTCCCTCTCTCTCTGTTCACCGGCGTCCGCCATGGCCGCCGCGGCGTTTCTCGCGCGTGGACGCGCGGCTGCCTGCGTGGCCGTGCTCGCGAAGACGTTGGCGTGCTGGAGTTCGCCTCCTCGCCCTTTAAAAAGCCGAGCGTCGGCCACCGTCGTCTCTTTTCTTCCTCTGCTCCATCACCGGCCGTTTCCCTTCAATGGCAAAAATTCATCACTCTCTCTCGCCCTCCATCCAATTGCTCGTGCAGCCAACTGTGCCTCTTCCTTGCGCTTCGTTTGAGCTAGCTCGCGCCATCCCTCTCTGTCGGAGCCGCTCGCGTGCCGTCGTCTTCCTCGCGGACTTCCAGGAGCGCCGCCGTGGGCCGCTCGCTGTGGTCAGCCGTCTCCGATTGGTTTATCTCCCTCCTCTCTTCTATTTCCTTGAAGCTCATCGGCTTGTCGGTTTTTCTTTTCACCATCAGGACGCGCTGGAACGCCGTCGCCCTGCCAGTTCGCGCACGCCATCGACGCCGGTCATAACTCTCCGCTGCGTCCCCGCCTCAACAAAGTAGCCGAGCGTGATTGCGGTGAGCTCCTGGTGCTAACCCGGGCCCTAGTTAGGTCGCTACCGCAGCGCCGTCGTCGCTTTACCGCCGTGCCGCCATGGCCGCGGGCGAGCTCGTGCAGGGCTCTAACTCGTTCAACCGGTAGCTTAGGCGCGTGCGTGAGGTCGAGGGGAACACGTAGGTGCTGGTCTCGTCGCCGGCGAGGTCGCCATCGGCGAGAACCCGCCGGTCAACGGCCGTGCGCGCTATGGTCAATCCGGGCGCACTGTGCCGCTAACCCGGGCCCCGCCTGTTAGCCGCAGTGGCTGGCTGAGGGTGAGTTAGAAAAGGAATTTTTGTCTTTTCGAATTTCTGAAAATGAATAAATGTGCAGTTTCTTGTTAAATTCATAAGTATTTTTAGGAGTGTTATAAAATTGTGAACATTTTTGTGTAGTCTCTTCATTCTATGCTCTACCTAGGAAAAATATGAAATGATGAAAATTAATAATTTTTGTATGCTTAAAAATTCCATGTTTTAATGGAAAAATGCTAGATGTAAGATTTTTGTAGGCCAAAATAATAATCCATTAATCATGAAACTTTTTGTGTAAATGTCATGTGCTAATACCTAGCTCCACAAAAAGTTTGGTATTGTTTTGATAATTTTAGTTATTCAGTTAATTTAAATGCCTTTTCCTTAATTAATAAATAATAAAATGAATTATGAAAATGGTTAAATGATCTTGATGTGTTTTGATCATTGTTTGAGGACGTTGATGAGCCCCTTATAATGAATGTGAGTTAGGAAATATGTTAATCACTTGCTGGTACATGTTAAGTTATTCCTTTCATTATAGACAACTAATTAACTTGTTAGTTAAATAACTAAAATGCCTTTTATAATAACAACCCTAGTTCTTTGGTGAAGGAAAGTTGTACTCAACTTTCTTAAGTTTGTTAAGTTTCATTCATGCACTTGTATATCTCTCATCATGCATCATGCATGTAGTCCATCATGTTAAGCAAAACATCATTTATTACGTGTAGTGCACGAGAGTGAGAAGATTCGTGTTGATCAAGTTTTGGAGAAGGTCCATCCATAGTGGTGTTGGTACCAAGTTTAACCTCTAGATCTTTATGAGGAAACCAACATTCTCTGCAACGCAGGCAAGCCCCGGAGCATAAACCCTCTCTTAGTCTTTATAAATCTTTATTACACTTTAAGTCTTATGAGATGTGCATTAAATGATTAGGAGTTGGTCGAATACCGTTGCTGCATGATTATCTTGATAACCAGTTATCCTTAGCTATACCCTGCTAGTATGAATAGGTCAATATCTCTTATGCTTAGTAATACTTAGACTTCAATAGAAGCCGAATGATGGTTTCATCGTTCGCGGAAAACATGTTTACCTTGCTCTTCTCAACTTTGGTTATGAGTTGTGAAATACCATGGTTATTATAATGTTAAATTGAGACCGGACGGGTAGCTTGCATCGAGAATGGAGTCTCAATGTTGTGCTTCCGCCTGTATCGATTGAGGGCTATGACAGAACTGTCCAATTTATACAAGATTAAGTGCGGCTGTCCTCGTTTAGCACGTTGACGCGCACATACTTTCACTTATATAAACCCAGTAGTCCGACGAGTGTCATGAAGGATCTCGATATATCAACATCGCAACCAAGATCGTATGATTAAGCAAATACACATCACATACACAGAGTTGCAGCGAAAATAATGTTTATAATGAGTTCACAAATAATAATATAAGTTTGGGTTTCAAAACCGGTTAAGGGAAAAACAACATAGCTTTCAAATGATTACATTAATATAAGTTCCAAATACATTGTTATCATAAGTGACATCCTCTGATAAAAACATATAGGTGAGAAATAAATATAGAGTCACCGAGCCCACCGGCGGTTAGCCACCATCTTTAGCAGGTCGAGAACTTCACCTGTAACATGGTGGGATAAACCCTGAGTACTCGAATGTACTCAGCTAGACTTACCCGTCATAGACCAGAAATAAAGTGACACCAAAGAGTATGCAATGCTTTATAAGTGGAGCTAGCTTGATAAAATTTTACATAAAAGCCACTAGTTGAGCTATACATTTTGCAATTCAGTAACCAAGTTAATTATAGCTATTCATCTCTAGATTAACAACTAACCTGTGCCAAACATGTGGAATATCATTTAGTAATAGGTAATAGTAACCATAGCCGGTGTAGTAATGTGAGTATCATCATCATAACCATCAAGTTTCCATTAAGTTACTCTACGTTGCCGCTGCTCAGTTAAGTTCTCACTATCCGGTAGAGACGGCGATTCAAATCGATTCCTACCCAGCTGGTGAATTTATTCCTAACACAAACCGAGGCACACCTGCGCCAAGATAGCCTCAGGTCACCTTTTGGTACAATTCAGGACTAACTCGTGGGTCCAATCAGCACCGCACCCTTAGAGATTCTACCAATC